CACTGACTCAAAGTTATAATAAACGCAGCTCTCCAAATCTGTTTTGAAAACCCGAAACACATCAGAATAGTTCTCTGTATCTTCTCCCTGAATTTTCCGGCAAGCAGCAATCGCTAAGGGATGACTGAGTATTTTTATACTTTCTCTGACGTATCGAACGCTTACAAATTTTTTTTTGGGCTTCTACATTTACGTCATAATTGCCTCAAGACAGTTCCACAGTGTAATGTCAGAAAACACTGTTATCCACTTTACATGAGCAAAGCTTTCTCAAAATGACCAGGTATTTCTTTTTATCAGTTACTCTCTATTACAGCGTCGCCTTCGATTTCTTTTGATTTTTCTTCCGTAAAATTGTCTTTTACAGATGCATGTAGATTGCATCGTCTCCTTAAAACGGGAGGGAGCATTTTTGATTAGCCGTTGATAATCGCCATATGGAGTATTTATAAATAAATCAAAATTTGCCTGGCACACCCTCGGTCAACACAAATGACGTTCATCTTGCCTTAAAGAGCCTTCGACATGTTTCCGAGTTTTTACAGGGGCACGGTGGGGAAGACTGCTCTTAGGCCAGAACAAATAGGGATACGACTTGGTCTGTTCACTTGAAATCGCTCTCACTTAATTAATTTTTTTTTTCATTTAAAATTGTGATAATAAGGAAAATGCCCTGCATCTTCAGACAAAGACTTGCACTAGATTTGAATTGGTCATGATCTTGTAAGTGAAAAGACTGTTCTTTTGAATGACAGCGGTGTTGTTTGAGTAAGAAATTTTATTTTGTATATTTGTTAATTACATCAATGATGTACTTGTGAAAATTGCAGCAAACTCAATGGCTGAGAGAACGCAAATTAATTCCGAACAAATTATAAAGTTGTCATTGGGCGCAAAAACAACTTGAAACTGAGGGCTGAAAAGTTGAAATGAAATTCATTTTGTATAGAAAGAAATCAAATTAATTCTCAAGAGAAAAACCAGTGCAAGTAGCTCAGTTCTGAAGCAAAAATATTTTTCGTTGTCACTTTGTTGACACAAGATGTTTATGAATGTGGCAACAACCGACTGAAAAATAGAATCACCTGATACATTCATTGTTGTATGCAGTAAAAGTGACACCATTTTCCATGGATGATATATAAAAGAAAAACCCTCTAAGTAAAAAATCTGTATAAATTAAAGTACGGGTTTGGAACTTAGAGCAAAGCATCCTAAAAGAAAAATATTACGGAGTACCACGTGAAAGCTACGCTTCGACAATAAAAAGCAGCTCAAAAGGTTATGTGGTTTAAACTGATTTAAGGCGAAGATAAATTAACGCCTCGTGCGAACTCGAACAATTATCCGATCGAGATCCCTAACCAGCTTACCACTAAAGTGCGTTTGCACTTTGGTTTAGTCTTTGGTAGCATTTCATTACTTATTTCGTCGGAGAAATAAAGGCCCGGGCTCAGTTCTTACGAAAACAACGATAACAACAATAACCGCACTAGCAAAAGAAGAGGAGGCTAAAACCACCAGACAGCGATACGCCAAGGGTGACTGAGAATGAGCCTGTGTCTGTTTCTTCATCTTCATCTGTAAAGGAGAAGAAATATGATAAGCAATGAATTCACCAAGATCAACAAGGAAGTCATTTGAATGATCAGTGACCCAATTCTGCGCTTCAAGCATTAAGGTAAGATTAAAAAATACAACGTAGAATTTTTCTTTGAAATGCTGACGTAGGTGAGCAAGACTGAAAACTTGTAGTTGTTGAATAAATTACACAGAATTCGCTAACACATATCGCAAACACGTTTCATTGTACCCAACTCTCTCATTTTTTAATGCATGAAGTAAGTTACAGGTGTGTTTTGACAACCGTCACACCTACCTTATTAAGATCCACTTAGAAAAAAAGTTAAATTCAGTGTTACATTTCTTTTTTCTTTTTGGTTTTCACCACCTTATCTTTATCATCATAAATGCATGGATTACTAGGCAGCCCCTGTGACAGTTTCTATCATTCTAAGCCTTTATAGGAAACATGCTTCGTTTAATTTCAACATAATTATGCCTTTTTTTGTCTATAATTACTTTTCTCGCAGCAATAACCAGTATATCCCTCCTTGCAACTACACGCTCCACCCATTAAGCTTCCTCCATTAAAGCAAGTCTTGCGAGGGCAGGATCGTTCCATCTTTAAGTCTGACCCTCCAGAACATGAACCTCCGCACCTCTCGTAAATTGTCCGCTGACGAGTTCTAGTCTGTAATCCTCCTACACCACAATCTGTCGTACAATGGCTCCACTCTGACCAGGAACTAAGTTGACAGTCAGCTGCTGGCGAAGGGCCATTACATATTTCCTCTACAAATGACATTAAAAAAAGCTGCAATTAGAAGAAAACATGGTATGAAAACAAGGGTGCTCTACAGTACTTTTTGTAAAAAAAAAAAAAAAAAAAAAAAAAAGGCTTTACCAAAGTTGTGCTAAATTATTTTAGTTATTACACAAGAAGTAAATGGTTTGAATCCGGGGTTAGCATGCCATCGTGTAGTCTTATGGTCCGGGCGAGGGTGCTCCTGAGAAGGACTGTTGTCGGTGGTAATGACTGACGTTTCAACAACCTCTGAGCGGATATCATCATCAAAGTTAGAGAGATAAATCTTATAACGAGTTCGACTTAAATCAAATTTGTATGTATGATAGTATCTCCCTAACCAAATAGGCGAAAGGAGTGTTGGTAAACGAGTGACAAGGCGACATCAAAACCCGCTTGGAAGGCCTCGTGCATGCCGGTTTTTCAAATAATTTCCGTAAACTACAAGAGGCAGAGATATAAGCAAAGATGTTATCAATTATATATGTAATAAAATCCTATTCGCTGCACGACGCCACGAGAAAGGAAACAAGTAACATTTCCGCTCAAGACAAGGTTGGAAACTTTTTTACGATAATTAAATGTCATAGCCTGCAGAACAGGCCTACTATTTTTTTCATTTTCCAGGTGAACGGAGGCAAACGCGAGGCGTGAGCGAAGGGAGGAGCATTTTTTTTCGGGTTGCTCCCTTCTCACGTGTCTCGCCTCCAGTTTTCGCTTCGTGCTTGCCTCCGTTCGCCTGAAAAAGGTCCGTCATTAAGCTATGCAATAGTCGTCCTGCGGATAGGATGACAAACGTGGTCGCGTGTATCAACGGTCAGTCAGCAGGGAACGTTACGCAGCTATTATTGAGAGGGATTATTTGGAATTACAGCCAAGTGAAAGAGATAAGATTGGTAACCGAAATGCCACAAATAGAAAACCAAAATTTTTTTCGTCCTTTTCCGAGTTATGATGTCCTAAGGTCGTGGTTTACTTCACAGTCTGACTATAGACTTCACTATTTCACATTAAACGAAATCTCTTTACCGATGAGTTACAAGACCATTCAGTGAAAAAAATTAAACGAAAACTAGAAGTCTCCTCAAAAATGCCAAAGACAGTTTGCCATAGACACTTCTTGGAAGCACGTTTTGGAAAACTGCACGCGTTCGCGCATTTTTTCAAGGCTGGTATCGCAGTCTCGCTTTCATACTCAAGGACCGAAAACGGCGGCGTCTTTGCCAAAGAGCACAGTTAGAAATCACAACGAGCCATACCAGTAGCACCTCTATAATGAAAATGTAGCCAAAACTCTAACTCATCATTAAGGAATTGCCCCGGATTTTTTAATGTGACCCTCAAAATTTTATCAGCGTTGAAATAAGTATCTTAATTTGCACGCAATATTTCTCCTTCGAATCGAATACTCTCTGCTCACTAGTCAAAATGTTCCGACAGCGCGCAATGGTGCAACGGGATGGAAAACATTTGCCATCGAGTGAAATGAGTAGTGGTTACAAAAAGAGTGTTTTGGCGCTTTTTTAATCATAAACAGGCTCTGTTTATTTTACTTCTACTGCTGAAGTGAGGTCAAACCAAAAAAGATATTATTAGCAATGAGAAAGAAAAACCTTCATCAGTGTCTGAGTCGTATCAATCAATGCGATTAAGTTTATGTCGTTTGTGTGATATGCAGCACGTCCAACAAAGCCTACATTTTCTTAGGATTTTTACAAACTAGGTCTTACATTTTGCAATTTCAAATGTTTTCCTCTAATGTAAACAGAAAAATAAACTCATTTTGTGTTATCTCCAACTCGTTAGGAAATCGATTTGTTAATATAACCTTATTGGGTACTTTTCCTCTGGAATGCATGGTTTATTCGTTTGTTTTATCACGTGGAACCTATTCTCCAGTTATGCACACATGAAGCATCCTTTCCAAGAAAGACACACTTTCCAGTTAAAATAACTTATTGTTTCTCAGAAATGGAAAAGTTAATGAAGCACACTTTCTGTCAGCAAATCTTATCATTTACTACAGTGACATTCGTAATGAAAACAAGTAATGAAAACAAACGTCGAAATTTTGTAACGCAAGTACACGATTCATTTTAACAGATACCGTCACTCTCTTTTGAAAGCTCGGTTCTTCATTCAAAAGTATGAGAGACTTTTTAATCTCACAACATTCGGAGATGGTGAAGTCTACATGAAAGTCACCAATCTTTACCCAAGTGCTACTCGTGTGTGCATAAGAATCGAACTGATCATCGCGGTGGTACATATCTGTGGGAGTGCACTCAAACGTTTCGATGGAGAGAAAGCTCAGAAACCTTGATATTAAAGTGCAGATTCAAGCAAAGATGGCCGAGTTGTTCCCGGTTGACCTGTCTTAAACATTGTTCTGTTTTGACCGTCTCTGTTCTCCATTTTGGGTCCAAAATATTTTTCGAAATACGCATATCAAAGTAAAAAATTGGTCCTTAAATTTTCTGTTCAAAATAAGCTTCCAAAATTAAGATGTGCTTGTGTGTGTGTTTGTAGAGGAGCTTTTCTTTTCTCTTTAGCAAGTTACCTTGGCAACAATTTCCCGTAAACTCATCTCGACAGCGACATGCTCCATTTTGTACACTTCCCCCATTGAAACAACTGTCTGTAAGCAGGATCTTGTTCTTGAGAGAGAAGACGAACATGTACCGCCACACTTCTCAGTAAGAACTCGGTGACGAGAGCTAGATTGCGTTCCCGATGCGCCACAAGGAGTTGTGCAAGAGCTCCAACTTGTCCACTCGCTCAGTTCACAGTCAACTGGATTTCCCCCATAGCACTGACGAGTTTCGAAAAGGTTGTCAGGGCATTCTCTTCCACCACAAGTAGGCCTTGTTACTATCATTCTTGATCGACTTTGAGCTCCCAACTGCCTGCATTGGTCTGAAGTGCACCGACTCCAGAATGTCCAAAACGTGACATCACAGTCTCGCGCTGGACATTGACAATTAGAAGAGACAGAGAACCACACTAGCAGAATTACCACAAAGGAAATCTTTGCCGAGATCATCTTTGGTATACACTATAGAACAACCGTGCACAGTTATAAACACAACTAAGCATCAAACAAGGAAGTAAACTTAAACGAGCCCAGCACTAAGTCAACAGGACTCCGGAGTTTGCCCACGTGATGTTCATAAGGAAGCCATACCGCAGTTGTTTGACGAAAATAAAATGCAAAATAAGCTCTTTATCACGCAACGCCATCTTGGATTGCGTGAGGCACTAAATCGAGGCTGGACGGGCATAAGGTATTGGTAGGGTTGTGTTACATTAAAGTGTCTTGAGGGAAGATTTCAAGCAAGCATGGCCCACTATCATTGCTGCGTTCATTTCTGTAGTAACGACAAACGAAATAAAATTGGTGAGAATTTATCTTTCTTCAACTTTCCTTCGAATGATTTATCGAGATCGAAATGGATTGCCGCTACAAGGCGAGATAAAGACACGTAGATAAGACGAGAGCATGTCGCCAAGCTTAAGACGAGGAAAATTCTGAGTTGTATGATCAATTGCTCATGATCAGAATAACTATATGTGCCAAACCAGTTGAATAGTCAGTGTTCGTCGTACTCCTAATAGTTTTATGGACCAACTATGTTCTATTTTCATTTGCCAAACTTAACTTTGTAGCACATGGGTGTAAGGTTGAATTTTTCCCCAAAATTACTCTTTTTCTGCCCTTTTTTTTACCTAAAAATATGACAGAGGTACTCCTGAAAATACTGTCAGTATAGAAACTATGTTTAAGTCGGATTGCTTGCTAGTTTATGGTAATCTTTACATTAGGTTGCCTGTACCTGACTACTACAGTACCCAATCTCAGATCAACAGTGTGTGTTGTAGGAACTACATTAACCCTTTACATCCTAAGATCACAATGTATATTCTCCATACTGTTCTCAAAACATTTCCTGAGGTGTTGATAAAGAGAAATTATTTTGCAATCAAGAGCTCATTCAGTTAGTGATTATTTCCCTCGTTCTCATGACATTATTACGTTATTCAGGGGAGATATTGTAAAGAGAAATTAGATGCTACTCACTCTTACAGGTGAACGGGTTCAGTACAATGCTTCCATCTTTTAGATAGGGATAAGGGAGGTAGTCTGGAAGCAATGTGAGTCTGTTGAGTTGTAAATGGAAGTTTTTCTTTTATGTTGTTTCTTTCCATCTTTTAGCTTTGTGAAGGCTGTTGGAGTTTGTTTCTTGGCTGTTTGTGATGGAACCTATTCTGCTGTTTTGGTTTTTTGTTTCTTGAGGAGCTTCAGCGTGAATTTGTAATAACATTTCAAAGTCAAGATGTTCAATCAGCAAAGAGACCCTATTCATTTGTAGAATTTGGTGAGCAATATTCATTAATCGATAAGAAGTTTGTGAGATGCCATCCACAACAAACAACATGTGATTTGTTGGAATTATTACGATAGATAATGCCAAAAGACACCAACAGAAGATTGCCAGGTAACTATATGACCTGAAGTGGACTAGCAGTTTAGTAATTGAAATGTTTCAATCCTCAATGAGGAGCTTCTTAAGTCTGCTATCTATAGTGACTCTAACTAAGAGATGAAGGATGGAACATTTTTTTGTCAAGCTCTTAACCTTTTAACTTCCTAAAATGATTAACATGTAACTTCTCCCCATAACATCCTCACACTACCCAGCAAACAGGTAATAAGAATACTCAAACTTACCAGGTAGAAGTTGTTACTGTATCTTGAACAAACAACAAATTCTCATAACTAATTTACAAGGAGATGTGTACCAGCTAGAGGGGAGAATTAACAATCAGATCTTGGGAGTTGAAGGGTTAAATATATTGTGAAAGGGAATGTTCAGGTCTCCTGAATTGGGTATTAGCTTTAGAAATGACTGTTAACCCTTTCCAGGATCTCAATAATGATTCTCCTTACTGCACTGTACTTGCCATACAATTCATGTGATGTTAGAGTTGTTCTGAGAATTTGGTATTGGATCAACTAATAATCCCCTAATTGATATTTTTTCTTTATTTTCATCACTTGTCTGCTTGATATTGTATAAATATTGTAAGGAGAAATTTTTTCTTAGACACTCATGGGAATTTAAGGCTTAAATAAATAATCAACATTATTTTTCAGCATCAAACAGTTTAAATTATAACTTTATAACAGTGTAAAGAGATTTACCCTATCCATAACATTATTAGTAAGGATAACAAAATTGATAGCAAATATATATTCTTTAATTTTCATGGCATAGAGTCTTTCATTCAGAAAACCACGCAAAGATACAACAACACAAGAACTCTGACATGGCAGCTTAATTTGAGTGAAATGAGTGAAGATTTACACAACAACCCTCCATTCCAGATATCACACTCAGAAATTGGACCAGAAAATAACACAGATGTCAAGACTTAACAAGACAGGAGGTAAATAGACAGTACGATTTTACTGTAGCACAACTAAAACTCGGTGTACCTTTTTTTGAACGAATCAGAAAGAAATGCCCTCTCCCCACACCCCCACCCCATTTTTGAAATAGCTTGCCTGCATTAAGAGAAAAAAGGAAAAGTTTCTGACCTGACGGGTACCTCTTTGGTGTTAACAAGCACATGTGAATTGTTCAAAGACAACTAAACTACATAAGTGTATACTGCAGAGGTTTTATTAGCAGCCAAGTAGTGGGTAGATTTAACTGCTTGTTATTGTGCTGGCTACCACTTAGCAGCCTTTACAGAAACATCATTGTTCTCCCAAAATGCATTTATTCTCTTTATGTTGGTTGACTCCCGAGCACGACAAAGCTACAAGAATTTTTCAATATTTTATAATCCAGATGAGAAGCATCGAACCAATTGTATCAAGTTTTATGGAAACCTCTGCTAACTGCTCTACTGGCTAGATGAGTCTGTATTTTATAAACTGGCATCAAAAGAAATCGATTCTAACTAGGAAGGAGAACATTGTTGTCACTGCAAGGTCGACATGCTTGAAGTATTTTACTATCACCATTTGCAAACGCAGTTGTCAATAAATTATTCTGTCCTGCGTTGCCCATTATGAACAGATTGAGGAGGAGGTGGGTACATAGACAAAGATATCGGAATTCAACCTTTCTTCGATCCCTGAAATCTGAAAGTGCACAAAAGACAACCGAGGATAGAACGAGATATGAAAATAAGTTTCAATTAGATAATAATGTACAGTATTACAGAAACGGAACTTTCCTGCTTTTGTAGAATTTCGACGCATTTTAGATCGTTTCAACGATACTTCTCACTCGTCAACGATACATTTCACTCGTGAGCTATTGAGTCAAACGCTCGAAGAAAAATCCCATATTTACGTACGCCCAAGTATTATTCTCTATATCTCGCCGATTGAAAATAAACATTTTCATTTTCGCAGGGATCAATAAAGGTGTGCTTTCAGGCATCCTAACACCTTGTTTGATTGAAGCTGTCGTTGTCATGGTCGTGGTGGTTCTATGTCATAAAAAAAGGAAAGTGAAATTATTAAGGGATGGAGCAATGATCTGGAGAGGAATGCAGTTTCTATTTTCAAGAACCTTCGAGTGCTATCAAAAATTACGCATAAAGGTAGCGTTTTATTTCAAATAAAGCACTACTCAGTGCAGTCAGCTAATGATTTTGTTGTTTGCATCAGGAACAGAGGCTAGTCGTTGACATGACTGTCAATTTCTTCCGTTAAATGTTTGAAAAATGTTGTCACGGTTATTAAAATGAATTTGTCCTACGATGCCCCACTCTTGTTATATTAAAAAAAATGTTTTAACTGCTTTTTATATACTCAAGCTTCCACTTCCCCTCCCCCCTCCCCCCTCCCCCCACATTTACCACGCTACAGTATGGCTCAGAGAACATGGTCATAAACCACAGAAACAACGAGAAATGAGTTGTCTCTTGTCTTCCAAAGAAGTGTGATTACTTCATGACGTTTCTATGGCTTTAAAGGGGATTAAAAGATTTCGCATTCAAGGAATAGCAGACAGAGTAAGGCAAAAATTTTAATCGTTTATTCGATAAATATCATCAATGATGCGATTGCGATTATTGCGGAAATTCCAACATACCCAATGGCTAAGAGAATGTAAGCTAATCCCCAGTCGGTCATAAAGTTGAAATTGGGTTTAAAAGTTGAAACATAGTGCAGTATTCGAATTATTTCTAAGGCACTTTGGGATAGGCTCTCGAGAGCCTTCTGACTTCTACGTTTTTTTTCGGTTATAATCTTTGCCAAATATACTCGTGCTGATTGAATACAAATTGCTCTCGAAATCATTTTATAACAGTATAAATGAGAAAAATTGAAGGACGAGCACAAAACTCTTCACTAGCCTTGTGTCGGCTTACTGAACACTGTGAATATAGATGAAACTTCTTAAAGCTTAAGCAAACTCCCTTAAGCACTTTCAATGTTAGATAAATACTAGGGTGGTCTGCTCTGACACATTTTCAGTCCAGAGGTATGTGAGCACCATTCCAGAGAAAAACCAGTTCAGATCAATCAGTTTTGAAGCAAAACACATCTTTCGTCTTTCCTTTGTCAGCACAAGTTGAATTTACTGAATCCAAAAGAGGATCACATTGATTCAATCGTGATGTATGCAGTTTTCACGGTTGCAAAATGACACAAAGAATATGGTTTGGAACTTAGGGCGGAAAATACCAGTACAAAAATACTATAGAGTAGAATTGACACCTGGTTATATCAACAAAAAGCAGCCCAAAAGGTCATTTCAGTACAAAGATACTTAAACACCTCTTAAGGACTTCAGCCATCATTCGTGTGAGAACTCCAACCAGCTTTGCATGATATTGACGTTGCACTCGAGTTTTATCATCGATAACATTTCATTCAGAGCACACCGCGGTTAAACAACATATACGTGGAAAATGAGCAAACAATTAAAATTTAGGTTACGGTTTTCTCTTTCCAAGTTTTGATAATTTACATTTGTGCATCAGCGTCAATAGAGTTTTGGAGATTCAATATAGCTGTTAATTTCAAAGTCTTGCTGATTGCGCATCCCTACTGCGCATAATGCTTTGTGCGTGGGTTGCGCGCTCCTTGACAAAATGGTGGCTGTTATTAAGGCCTGAACTCGCGCTCAGTTGATTTGCTATTTGCTCCTATTCTCAAGTAGCAATATTTCATTTTTGATTTGTTCACGAAAAGTATATTTTGAAGAGAAATAAAGCTATGGGTTGTATAACTCGTGATAAAAGACGTGAAACTCTGCGTTTATAGGGTGATAACTAAAGGCTCCATCCATTAGTAGTTGACCACGGCAGAGAGTAGAAAAATAAGCATGTTCCCATAGCTGATTATCTAGTTCGGGCGCAAATAAATTGATGGCTAAAATCCCCGTTCGAATCCATGTATAACATGTAACAGGCTATCGCTAACATCATTTTTCGCTCGCCCACTTTTCACTTTCCCTTTAAAATAAGTAGCTTGGCTAAAGCTTGTTCTTACACAAATTTTAGTTAAAGGAGCTCTACAAACATTGACTTCTGTTTCGATTTATCTCGCTTGCTGCGTTTAAGCTTAACACTGAGTATGTTGTGTAAAAAGGTAAAAAAGGCAACTTTGGGTAGATTCATATTGATCTTCGAGGTCTGGGTTCATTCCTTAAAATAACGCCAGCACACACAAAAGATGATGACGAACAAAACTACTACTCCCGGCACCGAAATCGCGACCTTGATTTTGATTGAGCCTGTGTTGGTATCTGTGTCTGTATCTGAAAAGGAGAAGAAATATGATCAGCAGTCGAAAAATTTGATCTACATCAACAGAAAATTCATTTGAATGATTGGTTAGCCACTTTTCAAGCAGTAAGAGAACATTTTTTAACAATTTTAGAATTTACTTTTAAAATGTCGAATTCAGAAAGGAACAATAAAAACTTGCAGTTTAGAAATAAATTTGCTAACTTATTTAACCGGCAACGCGTTTCGTTGTACCTAATAAATAGGAGAGCCCTTAAGCCAGTGCTCTGAAGCTCAGTGATTGAGCATCGAAACTTAAAATCTGCAATCAAAAACATCAAGGAGCTTGGCTATTATATGATACTGGGAGCCAATGGAGATTGCACCTGTGGCAGCTGTGATCTGAGTATAGTAAACAAACAAGATATAGATCTAAAATATTATGCAAGGAAGGAAAGGGAGGTGATTGCAGTTTTAGCGCTAAATTGTTTGTTTTAATTTCTCACAATGTGAATTTTGTTGAATTAGTTCTCAGTGATAAACTGTCTTTCCAAAAATAAACTGTCAACCGCAATATGCCCCCCCCCCTCCCCCCGCAAGATTTAAACCGTTTACTATATATTGGAACAATCTATGCTGTCAAAAGTAATGCCAACCCCTTAAGATCCTCTTCTAAGACAAGTTGGATTCGATGCTGCTATTTTCTTTAGCTAGACCATCTCTAAAGTAGCTTTCAAGCCTTATAAGAAACACGTGGTTTATAACCACGCATACCTATGCAGTTATGCATATTTCTGTGTGGACTTTACCTTTCTTAGTGTTCTCAGTGTACTCACAGCAATCACCAGAGTAACCCACATTGCATTTACATGCTCCATGCATTAATCTGCCTCCATTAAAGCATCTGATCTGAGGACAGGCTCGTGTTATTTTTAAGTTTAATCCACCGGGGCATGTACCTCCACACTGCTCTGTAATCAGCCGGCGACGAGTGCTAGTCTGCCTACCCCCTACACCACACATTGTCGTACAAGGACCCCACTCCGACCAGGAACTAAGATGGCAGTCGACTGGCCCCAGTCCACCGCAACGCCAAGTTTCCCCTGCGTATGACATTAAGCTGGGATAGTATCATCTCCTCGCACTAGGTCTGCATAAACACATATCCTGTATTTAAGTGCCGCTCTCGCTTAGAGCGGTCCTCTCGACTTCCCGTCTAAAAAAAATTTTCTTTTATTTTTTGCCCATGAAATGATTTAGGACACATGTTTCAAAAATAGTTTAGTTGTTCTCCAATTCTCTTTTTTTGCTTCGCCACAAGTCAAAAATGATTTTTGGCCAGACCAGCCCTGTGGATAGCGATCGAAAGTTTAAATTTCAAAGATTTTGTCCAGCGCGCAGCAACTGCAACAATTTAGCTCACGAAATTCTTTTTTACTACAAGTTACAAGATGCATTCGGTTAGTTCACAGACAAAATATGGAAACTTCAGCTGAAATATTTTTCATACCAGCGTGATCAGAGGAGACCCTTCTCTTCGACCTTAAGTTGCATATCAAAAATTCACTACTTTGTACGAAACAATTCTCAAAATGCAGGCGTTAATCGGGCTGAAAAAGCATATCAGTGCATAGTGTATACACCAATGAGGTCACGAATTGTCTCAAACCCGCGGGTATATCTCTAGCTTCCATCCACCAACATCTTAAAAACAACACAAATCCATGTGTTTGCTCAATCGCACTCGTGTCAAAGATTATTTGCATGATTCTGAAAATTGACCAAGATCTCCTTTTAACCGTTCAAACTTCGTTCGTTTATCTTCTATGTTGAGGATTTTAGGTTTTCATAGCAACCGAAAGGAGAATAGATGCCGAGTTGTCCTAAAACGTTGCGTAAACGTGATCGGTCGTGACGCTTGCGCGCTAGCGTGAGTTACAAATTAGACAAAGGTGATAGGAAGGCGCCTTATCGATAATTTATGTCGAAACATCAGGTCATGAACTACGCACAGTGTGGAGAAGATCAAAATTAAAGAAAAAAATTTAGCACTTTGGTCATAACAGACATATCGCGTTTCTCAAAAGGACACAAAAACAAGTTAAAATGGGTTACAATGTTTCCATTTACAAGACACTCTGAAACAATTCTTGCAGTTTCTCCCGAGATTTTGTACACGGAACCCGATGAACTAGCCCTCCTTTCTGCAAATTTGTTTCCGTCATAACAGACATATCGCGTTGCTCAAAAGGACACAAAAACAAGTTAAAATAGGTTACAGTGTCTATATATTTACAAAACAACACGAATGCACTCTGAAATAATTCTTGCAGTTTCTCCCGAGATTTTGTACACGGAACCCGATGAATTTACGTGGAAACATCAGGTCATGAACTACACACAGTGTGGAGAAGATCAAAATTAAAGAATAAAATTTAGCACTTTGGTCATAACAGACATATCGCGTTTCTCAAAAGGACACAAAAACAAGTTAAAATGGGTTACAGTGTTTCCATTTACAAAACACTCTGAAACAATTCTTGCAGCTTCTCACGAGATTTTGTACACGGAACACGATGAACTAGCCCTCTTTTCTACATATTTGTTTCCGTCATGAATGATGTTAAGCTCTTTGAACCACAGCGGTTTTGAGCAACAAACTCGACATTTCCTTGCGACCATCAAAATCAATTGGACAAACCCAGCTTGACATATTGCGTGACGTGATTGTGCAAACTTTTCTCTTTGTCATACGACCTGTTTCGCGGGTTCTACAAGTTGGAATCAAAATTAGTTAATGTAACGAATTAGAATCGAAAGTTATTAAAATGGACTGAAGAATTTTACATCTTAATGAGAATTTGATCTTTTAAAATGTTTACTTGATTCATGGAAAGCAAAGATTGGAGTGGCTTTGGGTATTTTAGCCCTGATTTGGAACAAATAAAACAGTTATTGGTATGTTCTAAACATCAGAACACCTGAGAGGACACTGAAAAAGTAGAAAAAAGTATTTTTTAGCATCTAGAGCAAAATGAAGAATGTGAGGCAGTGAAAGGAGACTGAGTTTTCAAAGCCATTTATCGTAAAAGCTGCCACCAGCTTGTTATTGAACTCACGAATATTTGCCTGGAAGGTATTACCTTTCTTTTGTCGCGAAACTCGTGGATTTTTTAAATTTTAAGCGGATGCAAAATCGAGACAAAAATTCGTCAGAACACAATTTGTCCTTTAATTTTTTCAAGAGAATTCTGGTTTTGTCTGTCAGTGCAGATAGCCCAGATAGGCACTGATAAATAAATTTTTAGTCGAATAATAGCTTTCACTCTCGAGAAATGACAAATATATTTCCCATGTGATCCGACTACAACTTTAATTTCGAAAACTTCGAAAAAATCTCCAGTCAGTCTGGCTTTCTTTTACTGCTTCACATTTTCCCATGTGCTGTGCCTGTTAACGAGTACTTTCACCGCATTTCCAATGTTTCTTAAAGTGTTCGGATGCTTAGAACATGCCAATAACTGTTATATTTTTTCCATATCGTGGTCAAAATGAACGGAACGAAATAAAATTAACTTGCACTTGAGGATTTCGCTGGATAGCTGGTAGTACTTCAAATGACTCGATACGTCGTCCCGGTGTCCCAGCGGATTTGGACCCCACCCCGTGGATTTGGACCCCCCAACAAAACAGAGTGAAAACATCATCCTTAACGTACTACTAAACATGGATGATACTTTACGTTCCAGTGCGTACGAAAGTATCGTTTATGCATACGAACTGGCATCCCGTCGGATGTTTCTTTTGACTAAGGGAAAATGGGCAAGAATTTAGTTTAATGTCTGGAGAGAGGTCATTTTTGAAACTTTTTCGCGAGAGTCAAACACCGCTAGATTCAATAAGAGCGAACTTGTGACACTAATTTATTTTGTCATTGTTCAATGCTTGGGACGACATGGTACAGTGTGAGTTAAGATTTATTGTAACAATTTCAATAGTTCGAATGCAGTAGTTTGTTCACATCTGATTCTTGCGTATACTGTACGACTCGCTATAATAAATGCGGTAGAATTGGAACGAAATGGCTGGTTTTTTTCTTTTTTTACCTTTATTGAGGAATGTTGTGTTGTGAGTGAAAAGAACATCGACAAAAAGCTTGCAAATAGAATTAGTTACCAAATATGACACAAAGGATGCTTAAAAGGAAAGTTTATTAGGGGGGTCCAAATGCGAAGGGAGGTCCGTATCCGCTGTGACACCGGCATTCCAGGAGAGAAATCAGGGCTGAAACACCCAAAGCCGCTCCAATCTTTGTTTTCCATGAAACAAGTAAACCTTTTTAAAAATTAAAATGCTCATAAAAATGTAAAATTCTTCAGTCCATTTTAATAACTTTCGATTCTAATTCGTTACATTAACTAATTTTGGTTTGGAAAGTTTGCACAATCACGTCACGCAATAAGTTAAGCTGGGTTTGTCCAGTTGATTTTGATCGTCGCAGGGAAATGTCGAGTTTGTCACTCAAAACCGTTGTGGTCCATAAGAGCGTAACATCAGTAATGATGGAAGCAAATCTGCGGAAAGGTGGGTTAGTTCATCGGGTTCCGTGTACAAAATCTCGGGAGAAACTGCAAGAATTATTTCAGAGTGCATTCGTGTTGTTTTGTAAATGTCGACACTGTAACCTATTTTAACTTGTTTTTGTGTCCTTTTGGGCAACGCGATATGTCTGTTATGACGGAAACAAATTTGCAGAAAGGAGGGCTAGTTCATCGGGTTCCGTGTACAAAATCAAGGGAGAAACTGCAAGAATTGTTTCAGAGTGTTTTGTAAATGGAAACACTGTAACCCATTTTAACTTGTTTTTGTTTCCTTTTAAGCAACGCGATATGTTTGTTATGACCAAAGTGCCAAATTTGATTCTTTAATTTTGATCTTCTCCACACTGTGCGTAGTTCATGACCTGATGTTTCGACGTAAATTATCGATAAGGCGCCTTCCTATCACCTTTGTCTAATTTGTAACTCACGCAAGCGCGCAAGCGTTACGACCGATCACGTTTACGCAACGTTTATGCAACGTTTTAGGACAACTCGGCATCTATTCTCCATTCAGTTGCTATGAAAACCTAAAATCCTCAACGTAGAAGATAAACGAACGAAGTTTGAACAGTTAAAAGGAGATCTTGGCCAATTTTCAGAATCATGCAAATAATCTTTGACACGAGCGCGATTGAGCAAACACATGGATTTGCATTGTTTTTAAGATGTTGGTGGATGGAAGCTAGAGATATACCCGCGGGTTTGAGACAATACGTGACCTCATTGGTGTATACACTATGCACTGATATGCTTTTTCAGCCCGATTAACGCCTGCATTTTGAGAATTGTTTCGTACAAAGTAGTGAATTTTTGATATTCAAGTTAAGGTCGAAGAGAAGCGTCTCCTCTGATCACGCTGGTATGAAAAATATTTCAGCTGAAGTTTCCATATTTTGTCTGTGAACTAACCGAATGCATCTTGTAACTTGTAGTAAAAAAGAATTTCGTGAGCTAAATTGTTGCAGTTGCTGCGCGCTGGACAAAATCTTTGAAATTTAAACTTTCGATCGCTATCCACACGGCTGGTCTGGCCAAAAATCATTTTTGGCTTGTGGCGACGCAAAAAAAGAGAATTGGAGAACAACTAAACAATTTTTGAAACATGTTTCCTATACCCTTCTCATGGGCAGAAAATAAAAGAAAACTTTTTTCCGACAGGAAGTCGAGAGGACTGCTCCTAGCGAGAGCGGCACTTAACAGCGGGGATTACAAAGAAAAAAAGATTCGGCTACTTTCAAAGCAAACGTATTGCACTGTTACGGTTGTAAAAAGGTAATGATTCTAAAAACCTGCTCCTTAGTCAACGCTTTCTTAAAACTGGAGCAGCAACACAAACCAATGCAACAGCACAAGCGAAAGTGCTAATGTTATGAATTTCCACTGTTACAAATGGTATGCATCATATCGACTTTGGATAAACTGTGTACTACATGTTTCTATCTCATTTATCTGCGCTGGATGACGGACTGATTAACATTTTTATTGACGCGAACTTTCTGAAGACAAGCACTATAGCTTGGGACATATGATGGTTTTCTCGACCTTCGAAGCTAAAGCAGCAACCTCTAAGCTGCTAAAATATCGCAAGACCACCTAAAAAGCTCTTCTTTTGTTCCACATCTTTTTTCGATGTTTTATCGTAAATTGTGAACTTCATGAGAATATCTTCTTAAAACCTGTCAGAATAATTTCAATACATTAAAAATTTATATATAAGAAAGGTGGAGGCATTTTTAATGAGAATTATTACGAGTCATTCATACGAGTGAGCTTCGCCATAAACACGTCCTGGAAGTGTGTTTTAAAAAACCGCACGCTTTGCGCCTATTGTATGTATGCTGATATCATACCAGCAGCACTTCTACAATGAAACTCTAGCGAAATCTCTAATTTATCATTTTAGTATTTCCTCAAGCTCGAAATTCCTTATGTGACTCGCAAAATTTAACTCAGGATGGACGTCACTAGCATCTTTGCACGCAACATCCCCCTCTTTAATCTATCTCTCATAACAGGGGTTTACTTGACAAATTGTACAGGCGCAACGATGCCACTGGCTGCAAATCGAGTGAAATAACCATTCGAAGTCAAAGATTACAACAAGAGTGCTTTGGTGCTCTTGGCATCAAACGCAGGCTCAGTTAATTTGCTTCCACATCTGAAATGAGGTCAGACCACAAATGACACAGGAAAGACATGTCACATACAGAAAGTTATTGTTTCTCGAAATTGGAAAGTTCCAGTGAAATAAATCTTTCGTCTTGAATTCCTAGCATTCATTATCGCTTTAGGCGTAATAAGTACTAAAAATAAATGCCACAATTTTGCTAACGCAAGAACAAGAATTAATCAATTTGATACCATTGTCTTCTTTGTCAGTTCAGTTCCTCATTTGAAGGTATGGAAGACTTTTTAGTCTCATAAAACTCTAACGCGCTACAGTCTCTAAACTTCTCTACTCAGTACGCAAGTGATTTTGCCGAAGCGCTAACAATCGATTCATACGCGGTTCATAATCATGGGAATGCGCTCGACCGTTTCAATTGTAAGAGCGCTTAAAAAACATAATGATTAGATCCACGTTGGTCCAGAATGATTTTCAGAGTTTTGTTTTTTCTTTCTTTTTGTAATACTTTGTAGACTTCACTGATACTTGCACTATGATGGAGAAATACTACTGAATACAATAAGTGAGTTACGATGTACTTCAATTAGTGGTAATACAAGAGACAAGCCTCCAGTTACCTAAGCATTCTAAGTAGAAAAAAGGCTGTCTATGAGCCCTGATTGCAATTTTAATCTTGATGGACTGGCCTTTGAGGGGTAATAAACAATATCACCTTATGTTAGAGAAATGACTTGCCGTTCAAAAGTAAGAACAAACATGTTAATGTGCGGTGTTTTGGTACAAAATGTAGACTCAGTTGCAGAGGTTGGATTGTTTCTGTTTCTACTATCTTAAACACAGTCCTGTTTTGACTGTACGGATATGAAAATCATATGTGAACATAAAAAAATTTCCGATAACTTCTGTTCTAAATTTTAAAATTTCAATTAAAATTTCCTGTTTGAAGTAAGCGTCCAAAATTGAGAGGTGCTTACATATTGTGTTTGTGTTTATGAAGGGCTTATAGTTTCTAGTTTTCGTGAGCTAGTTACCTTGCAGCTCGCAGCAATCCCCGGAAAACCCTGCTCTACAGGAACATACTCCCTCTCTAAGACTTCCTCCATTAAAACAGCCGGTCTGTTGGCAGGATCGTGTCTTTATCAGGGAAGATGAGCAGGTACCGCCACATTGTTCGATAGTTATTCGGTGGCGGACACTGGACTGTGTTCCTAATACGCCACAAACAGTTGTACAACCGCTCCATTCTGACCAGTGGCTAAGTTTGCAGTCAACTGCTTTACTACCAGAGCACTGCCGAGTTTCGGAAAGGTTGTCAGGGCATTCTGTTCCACCACATGATGGCTCTGATACAACCGTTCTTGATCGACTTTGAGAGCCTTGCTGTCCACATTGGTCTGTACTGCAATAACTCCAGTATGACCATAAAGTGATATCACAGTTTTTCACTGGACATGGCGGGGGAGCACGACGACGACGGCGTCTTCGCCAAGCGTCACAGTCAGAAGTTAAACAGAATAACATCAGCAGTATTAAAACAGTGAAAGTCTTAGCCGAAAACATCTTTGGTATACCTCATGGAACTACCTTTGTTTTGTTCAAAACAAACTAAGCTCTATGTAAGGAAATAGACGTGCCCAAACGTGTAGTGAACTGGACTTCGAACTTTGCTTGCGAAAGATCACGAGGAAGTCAGACCACAACTGTCTGAAGAATTCCTACTTAAAACAATACATTTGAAAAAATTAAAATGTACACCAACTGGAAGGGGTGAAAAGAAAAGTGTCTGTATCATTGTTTATCCCTTCAAAACTTACGTTGTGGGTATGATATATTCAACTAATGACTTGACTGTTTTTTAAGCATTCAATACTTAACCTCGCGCTTAGTGTTTTTTTTTTTCTTAAAGAAGAGCCTTTTCACTTCAGTTGTACTATTCATGTTATAATCTCTCGGCTAAGCGAACATTTTGCCATGATCTTCTCGACTGAATCTCTCGGCGAATGATTGATATCTATAGTTATTTATCATTGACATCAGTCCAATACAAGAAGTGACTCAAAGGAAGTTGTACTTCAAGCTGCTCTTCTTTACAAGCTGGCTGGTTTTCGCAAAGATTATTTCCCTTTTCATCAGTCGCTGATAGTGCTCTCACTCGATGAACCAGTCTCATTACTGGTGACTGCTCACTCTGTTGCAACAAAATTGTAAAATAAATTTGTGTCCATTTTTACAGAGAAAGTGGATAAGGTTCTAAAGAAACTGTGGTGCTTCGTCGGTGGGAGAGTATAACAGGGTAATTTAGTGTTATCAACTGAGTTGATAGCGCAAATTGGCCACCGTAAAGAGTTTAAAAGCTGAAGTTTCGAGCGTTAGCCTTTCGTCAGAGCGATTGGCGTAAGATAATTCAGTTATTGTGGGTGTGCATAGATTCGTAACGACCGCGTATATCATTTAATTATGGTACAATCAGATCGTAATGAAAATTCATTAGTTCTAATCGATGGATTGCATAAGTTCTAAAAACCCATAAGGGCGAGATTAATGTCATATTCAGCATAAAAATTTCCTCTGAAGTAGAAAATGTGAACACAGGTCATTTCTTTCCAGCAGAAAACAAACCGACTCCACAGAGCAGGACTCGGAAAATGCAGAATATCGAGGAAAGAGTGTGTCGGCACCAGCGCCATTTTGATTCTCACAGCCTTCATGTTTGACGCGAATAACGATATCGGAAGGATTCCCTGGATGCGTTCTTGTAGCAGGTCTCAACAGTCTGTGAAGCATGTAAATCACGAAGCACAAGAACAAAAATTCACCCGTGCAACCTCCCCCGATCCCTCCGCTTAAATGTATCATAGAAATTAGATTCCTGAAAGTTGTTTTCTCTGCTCACTTCTGACGCTCCAAGCTACATCAGGGAGAATGAAATTATATTTATTGTTTCATCATATACATAAGAACCATGTATAGTGTTTCATTTAACTAGTCATTTTCAAAGGCTCGCCTAAAGAGTAATTTCTCCACAAATATCTATCACGTATTCAGGGATGAATAACTTCAAAAAAAGAAAAGAAAAAAAAAATTACATCAAAACAACAAGCAAAGTATTTCGAGTATTTCTTTAACGCCGTATCGTTTAGTCGTTGTGAATTACCTGTAGTCTTCAGAGTTTCATTTGTTTCCTCTACTTTCGAATCTCGTAACGGTTTGATGCGATGCACCACTGCATGTATGCTCTTCGATTTGCGAATATTTTAGGGATGTTTCAGCTTTTAAGAAACGATATTTTGCCCTGCTGGAATTAAAAAAAAAAGGTTAATTGTCTTTCATGGAAAGAGAGTTGTGCGATAAAATCTATTGGCGAGACATATATAATGCGATTCAGTACACAGTAACTTGCGCGGTTTGGTTAAGTTAAGAAAATACTATTCGGTATAATGCCAATAACGGAAAGGAAAACATTAAAACTGCGATCTTTTGGGTCCACTTAGAATGGTCTAAAGAATTTTGACGCAATATACGCATGTATACAACGTAGCTTTAGAAGTTCGTTACAAAAGTTTTTTTTTTGTTTCTGTGTTTGCGGTGCAATTAGTTTTTTTCTAGAATTGTTCATAATGGCTCTGGAGGGTGTGCCATGTTCAGAAGTTGCTAGCAGTTTCATCACAATAATAGTGCGGTTCGTCTCTTTTTCTCATTACATTCCCATGCAAGCTTGGAGAGGAAGCCGCCGTTGAACAGTTACACTGAGAGAATCATTATTTTTCCCTGCCTTTTTCTAATTTATTTACGAGACAAAAAAATCGCGTTAAGTAATTGAAGTTGAACTCAGTCAGTAATTACAATCATTAAAATCTTAAATGTCATCGAAATGACCATAACAGTATGTTTTTCCCGTTGGCTACTATTTAATGACTAGCCAATTATTCATGTTGCCCTTTTGAACACCGTCGTGACAGATGCGAGTCCATGCCAGTTCGCAAGAAATATAATTTGTAAATCTCATATAGGGTTTTGCCATCCTTTTGGCTGATTTCATTTGTTCTTTGACTCTGGTAGTTTTTCAGTTATCCCCTCCATGAAGGTAATTTTATGTGCACTTTCTAAAACATCAGGACCAAAACATATCTAACATAGCTCTCTTGACGTATCATACTCGTGCGGAACGAAACTTTTCCAGATTTTACTGAGCTCACGGTAACCATGATCGATAACCGATCTCCTTTGTTATGTCACTCGTCCATCTGAAATAACTCAGCGGAGCAGAAAAAATGTTTTCGTGAGCTAATGAATAGCTAGAACATACGTTTGCAATGTTTCCCGTTTGGTGACCTGATTGATTTCCCAGAAATGTATTTTGTTGTCGTCATTTCTTATTTCCTCGTATGTGAAGCCAGGGAATCACGTCAAAATCATACTTAAGTAAACCTATTCAACGAAGCTTATCTTTCATTACAGCTCGTTCCATTTGATTAATTTTATGACATATTTTTTCATCTTATTCAAGACCTAATTTTTCGGAGTAATTTCAATAGAGTTGACTAGTTTTATCTTTACTTCAGCCATATCAATAGATTATAGATAGGACACACGCAATAAATGCCTTTCAGTTCTAGCTCTTAACTGTTATTATGAACTGTCTCCGACACACAGTTGTTAAAGATAAAAATTGATATGGATACATATACGTGGCATTGTTTACTATTTCTAGGAACCTGCAGAGGCCGGCGTCTTGTTACGGCGAGTTAACCCTTTAACTCCTATAGCTAGGAGTGATTAACGTATAACTTCTCCCCCATAATGTTCATACATTATCCAGCAAACAGGTAATGAGAGTACTAAAACTTATCAGGTAGAAGTCATCTCGAACTAATACCAAAGTCTTATAACTTATTCACGAGGAAATATGTAGCAGCTATTGGGGAGAATTGACAACCAGATCTCGGGAGTTAAAGGTTAACGTTAAGAAACGTTCTATCGTTTATTCAACCAGCTGTATTTGATTTGAAGTTAGAATCGAAAGTGGGGAGTATTTGCTCCCCCACCCCCACCCCTCTCCTTGCTTTTTACTGTCGCTTACCCGCTTGGTACAGATTTCTTTTTCTCCCCAGCCTTCTGCTGCCATTAAAATCAAAGCTGGTGGTCATAATTTTTGCTGAAAAAATACCGAGCGTTCGCTCCCCAAAATCGCGCCTGCTCTGTAAGCTATCTCAGAAAAATCATTTCTATTTCTCCTTTTGACAGAAGTTTCATACAACTATAATTATAACTTGAAATGTTCGTGCCAGAATTTTAGGTAGTCTGTCTGGATATCAAAACTGTTTTCCTTTGCCTTTAAATAAACGAAGTTTAAATCACCGCTAAGTCTCCTTCAATTAATATTCAAGTACCTGTGCTCAGGAAACTACTACCTTACTGTCGAGTTCTCTAGTTTTCACTATTATTCTAAAATTTGATAGAAGGATTTACAGGTTGCTCTCTTTCACTACTTCACCTACTTATTGACTGGTTTTTTTTGACTGGTCAAATCATACTGAACATTGAGTTAGTTTGGGGAATGAAAATTAGCAAAGACTTTAGAGAAAATATTCTAAAAAGTTAAAAACTTACAGTCAAATACATTTCTAGTCAAATACATCTCCAAGTTTATGATTCTACATGTATGTCTCACAGTCATCTAATTACCGCCAAGTTTCGCTTATGAATCAAGTGAACATTCAAGAAACACGACCGAAAACTATTCGATTATCTAAATGAGGCTTTTCTAAATATGAATAAAGGAGTTTAGTTTTTAAAGAAACTTTTGTGTTGCGTCGGTTGAGGTATTATAACATAATTTGGTTTTATTAACTGATTTTATTGTGTAAATTGACCATCGAAGAGAGTTTTTTAAGGCGATTATTCGAGCGTTAGCCCATCGCTATGACGACCAAATTATCTTTTCCAACAATAACTAGATAAAAAAATTCAAAATTATGGCGACTTCCACTAAACTTTGACTCTACGACAAATCAACGAAAACCAGACCACGTCAAGGGTACCATTTATTAATTTTTCAGACCCAGTATTGGCTATTACGCATTGCGCGTCTCTGTTTTTGTCATGGTATTCACGAGAGTGAGGCTTGCATTGTTTCGCCGTAGCTTGTGGAATAATCAACTTTGAACTAGTTGCCACCGATAGCCAACGCCGCGTGCAATGTATACTGGTCAAAAATGGGCCTTTAACACAGGCATTAACGATATGAAAAACGACAATACGTAAACATGTTGGCCTTTTCCCATCAATGTGATTTCAATTGCAAATTGCCATGTTTCGCTTAAATGGAGTCGAACCAGTCAAGATTTTACAATAAGGTGTTCTATGTGTATCTCCTTGATGAAATCGCTCTCTTGATCCAATTTCTGTATGATTTCGGAAGCATGATCGCGGTGGAAATTACAATTGTGCTGATACTAGTTACCACGCTCGCCTTCGCACCATCTTGTGACGTCCAGTCTCGAAGGCGCCGTGGATCATGCACTCCACGAAATTGCCAGGTCAGCCATTGCTCTTCATAGAATCCGTGCAGTGTAAACCAGTGTGGTCAACAAGGGTCTCAGAGTCGATCAAGAACGGTGGTCTCATCACTAGGTTGTGAAGGAGACCAGTGTCCTAATCTATACGAGACACAGCAATGTAATGGCATTAAGCCGATTAACTGTCAAGTGAGTCTTTGTTCTCTTTGGAGTGGGTGCGGTGCTGAGAAATGCGGGCAACAAGGGACTGAGAATCGATATTGAAAATTTTTTATTGCTTGTTTCATAGACTTTGGATTGCTATTGTAAGGAGATGGTCTGTCTTGAACTCTTATAGGAGTTAAAGGCTAGTGGAAAAAGTTTGTCTATTTCAATGCATTGTATTCGCAACACGCACACAATAATTATGCGCTGGTAACCTATACTCAGCGATATACGATCAGTGTTAGAAGATTAATGTCTCTTCACATGTTCGTTTTCAATGTTGTTTTTTTTAATCAGCGCTTTGTAGGGTTATCCTGGACTCCAAAGCAATGCTACTTTGTCAGGGACCAGGTATGTCGATGGGAACAACGTGTATGCGGGTACACTCTGGAACACACATAAGCAATTACATGTATAAATCTATATTTCCGCAGGATTTTTGAGAACCAGACTGGCAATTATAGTCCCAAAAGTTAAAGTCTTGCAGTGCTCTCCAGTGTTTGTATACATCAGCCTTTTTGACGATGAAGGCCAACTTTAAGTGAAACAAAACAAAATCAAAACACACATACAGACCCTTAGAGCCGGTTATTTACACGAGCTCTAACCCAAATCGCTCTTTTACGCAAGCAGTGGGCCTCGGGGATTCGTCCCAAACTTCGTGGTGGGACAAGAGCAGCTCAAGGACCTGTTCAAATTCCTTTCCTTTGACGTGCTAAGTAAAAGAGGTCTTTAAAAGGACGTGATCTGTACTTTATCCAAGAAGTTTGCAAAGAAAGATCCCACTCACTTTGACATATTTGTTATTATTTTGATGTCTGTTTCTGGAAGGTGCAGTGGAATATCTCGTGCTGATGGTAGAAACGCGAGCCTTGAACATATCATGGTGGAGTTCACAGCATCAAAGTGTCCCTCCCTCCGGGGTAAACCCCGGCTTTTTTTCCTTCAGCATTTCAAAGGGACATCTTGGGTCAACGATGAGTGCTCAGTCTTCGCAAGCAGAAGCTTTACAGAAAAGGATACCGTGAGGTTGCTTTGCATTTTCACCAGTGAGAAAGACAGCTGCCCCGAAGAAGCCGACTTTCTGTGTATTTGTGTGACTTCTACATATCCAGCTGATCAACCCAACAGAGAACCAGGGTCTTTTTTTATCCAGCTGAAGGATCAGTCATCATTTCATCATCGCCGGGGGGGAGGGGCGCTGGAGGATTTTGGGGGGGAATCACGATGTTTTCAGGGGAGAAAAGATGGAAGTCAGTCGTCGCTAACAGAACATCATGAAAGACTTTTGAAAATTGACTGCAAATGAGGGGGAATCATTAGAATGCTACGGGGCCACAGGGGGATCAGATAAGTTTTACAATGACACAACCAAAATCCTCCGGCGATGGATAATGACGGGTCGCAAAGCGTACGAATCAAGGAAGTAAACGAGGCTTGAATTAATATTCACCAGAACCAGTCGAGCAAAACTGATATCTACTGCATCTCAGATCAACGAAAACTTCAGGCATTATGCAGCTTATTAGTATCGATGAAAATGTAATATTTAAATGGAGGTTAATTTTCTTGCCAACTTTAAAATGTCAGAGTAGGGAACTCAGAGGTAGAGTGACGGTAGGGGAAGGAAATTGTGACAAAACTGCACGATGCACTTCAAGTGTTGGATAAGCTCGGAACGAACAGAAGAAGCCGGGCCTTGCTCAGAAAGCGTGAAAGAGGGCTGACGTACCAAAATGGGTAATTTTTTCGTGGATTACCATATATATACTCTTTATGTGAATTATTGAATCAAGGGAGCGGACCAGTTACTTTTGCTTTGCTCGTTCAACAGATCTTGGACCAGGTCATAAGAAGTTCCTTTCATCTGTACCATCTGCTTGACATGTTGACGATGGTAAACAAAAAAATGAAGGATAAACAGAGTGAACAACCAAGCATTAAAATGCCATATCGGAACCACACACTCAGAGCAAGAGTGTATTTAGGGTAAGAAAATTAATGAAGTAATGCGCCGATCAATTTGAAGCATCAACCCTTTCCCCCCCCCCCCGGACTGGCTGAAGTTTTGAAGACTTCAAGGACTAACGTCATCATAAGAGTCTGTCAGTGGAGTGTCATAGGTCTCGTTCTTGGAGACTGCTGGTCAGTTTGAATGTTAAAGGTTTTCAAACCGAGAAATGCATACTGCAAAATGTATTGATCCTGGTGACGATACGGGAAGAACACAAGTTTTAGATGAGCTTCCTCCCCAACTAACATGCCTTGGATATTGGTAAGCCTCTAGGGGGGGATTCTCGTTCTCTCTATAGTGAAATAAACGCAGCAGCTAAAGCTACACGCAATGACCGTACGATATTACTTTCCGTCCTGGAAAATTGGAACAAGTGGTCGCTGGTGAGAACAGGAGACACTTAGTAACTAGATCTGTGTTTTTCAGGTTTTGCCGTGCATCAAACATATTCCTTTTAAAATTGATTGGGATACTAAAATAATTTAAGTGGATATGCAATTCTGCCTAAAAATGGATGCTTTTTTTTTCTTTAGGTTCAACAGCGCCTTTAGCCCCTATCACTCCAGGTATGACTGTTTGGATTCAGTCTCTTACTCCATTCACACCAGGAAAAAAATACTTAGTTTAACCGGGTTTAACTGACGGAAAATCAGAAACAGAGAACAGAATCAAAGTGCTCTGTGAGCAAACTCGTGAATTGATACATGATTTTTTAGATTATGTTTAATGTTATCTGGTTTAGGGAATTTTGTGGTTGATTGTCATATCTAGAGTACGAGCAGTAGTTCAGTGTTCGCTAATGTAGCAAAGAAACAAAGTAACGTTGGGATAAGAAGGCATTAGAATTGAAATGATCATGCTATTACATTTGGTAAGGTGGATGATGTCGTGTTTTAAACGTCTATCATTTTTGTTTCTGGTTCAAAAGAAAAGGTTGGAGGTAAATGTGGGTGAAAAGTGAAATTTACTGTCTTTCGTTGTAAATATTAGAAAATCAAGGCAATACTGTATTAATGAAAACATTAACGATTCCCTCTTTATCAAACGAGACAAACGGGAACGAGTTTTGAGTGATATAACTAAGCCAAGCCTGCCACCGTCATTTTGGATCTCCGCCTGGGTACCGGTAGATTTAAGTCACGTGCTAGGCAACGTATAATCAATAACAAGATCGAATTTCATTTCAGGCCTATTTATCAATTTTTTGGTGTGTAACTTTCGCATTTTAGTACGTTGTATGTATGTTGAATCTTCAAATTGTCTTGAAACCTAAAAGAAAATTGTTCTTTAAAAATTCACTGAAAATCGGTAGCTAAAATTGTTTGTTTAGGTGTTATTTAATTTCCGTGTTAACTTGTTATTTCGTCAGTCGCCGGCATCTTTTGTTGCTTCACACAGGAAAAACACACGCGACGAAACGTAATGATCGATTTTGTCCGCAATCTCACGCCATGACAGAAAAAGCTTTTGAACATTTGTAAACTCCGAGCGCTTCGCAGTAAGTGATATTTTCAATGAATCTTCGGATTGTTTTCAAGTTCAAGGATTGTAAATTACAATTTTATGAAAAACAAAGGTTGTTCTGTTATTTCAATGTGAATCCTTGCATGCCTGCCAGTCGCTGGCGCCGCTTGTTGAAACTAAAACGAAAAAAAAAACACCCTTTTAAGATTATCATTGGCTTCTTTATCACCCCACCACTATTCTTAGCAACAAAAGTCACCATTTCGTCTGTTCATTGCTCGCCAAAAACTATCAAATGCACTCAAAAGCCTAAAATCGAAAAAAAGTTTACAGGAATCGACCAATCGAGCGAGCGAGCGAATGCCACTTCCCACATCGTATCTATAAATCGCTCTTGCGCATGCGCGCAATTCACGAGTTAAAAAGTGAATTTTCCATAGGATTCAAGTAATCGCGTACTTGTATTTTCAATGTGCAACATTTGAAGTCGACAGCTTCTACGAGGAAAAAACAATTTAAACCGTGTTGAACAAAACAGCCCTAAAACATGTGTAAGCTTTGGTGTGAATGGTGTATATGTCATTAGTTAACTATCCACTGGATCGTAAAATACTATATACCGTAAAATACTATATGCCATTTCGCCTTTTGAAAATTATAATGGTTAAGATTAAAAAAACAAAAGGGGCCCTGAACCCTCAGGGTGATTGGCTCCTAATTTTTCCTAACAGAATATTAATCATCCTTAAATCAAAAATTAAGATCACGAGAAAAAGGAAATGATCACCAATTTAGGAAGCTCCTGATTGTCAAATAGATTATTCTTGCCAGTACCAGAGGAAATGAGAAGAGAACAGTGTGCAGAATATGAATACCAATGTGAGAGTGTAAAGGGTTAAAAACCACTCATATCAAGCATTTTGTTCTTGACACAATTGATTAATGAAATTTCTTTGATTGGCTTTTAAACTGAAACTTAAATTTTTTTAGCTTTGGCTCAGCAAGTGAGCTATGAAATGAACAAGGATCCTCGAGGATTGTGCGTCATCGTGAATAACGTCAACTTCCAGAACAGGGACCTGAACCGACCAGGAGCCGTCGAAGACGAACGTAGCCTCCAACTTCTGTTCAGGACGCTCTTCTTTGAAGTGATTATCCGGAGAGATTTGACGAGCCACGAGTTGGAGAAAGTGGCACAGAAGTTTGGAGCTGCAAATCACAAAGCGTATAGCGTGTTTGTGTTCATCGTCATGTCGCATGGAGGAGATCGCGATTGCATCTTGGGCGTCGACGGAAGGGAGACAACCGTCAAGAATTTGATGTGCGCTGATAATTCAACTTCCTCACCTGTTAATGATATCAATTTACAACAGAAGGTCGCGACCACGTCACAGGCACAGATAAGCTCCCAGCCATGTGATACTGCATTCGTTACTGACTGCACCCTCCCGCGGAGCGTGTTTCCACCGGAAGCCGACTTTGTCCTGGCCTTTGCCACTGCGCCGGGTTACGTATCATATCGAGATCCGGATAATGGCACCTGGTTTATACAGGTAAGAAATTGAAAAAACTAAAGCAACATGCTTTGTTCGATTTATGTGCTAACAGCGTTAATTGACAATACTTAATTACCCTGTTATGCTCTCACCGACGCAGCTCCACAGTTTTTTTAGAAACTTATCCCCTTTACTAACTAGTCTCCTACTGTCGAGCACGAGCTCCACTTGAAATTTGGCGGTCGTTTATAGAGTTAAGAGTGTTTGAAGTAATCGTAATCTCCTAAGAGAGAAGTATTAGAAAAAGAACTAGAAATGGATAACTCGCTAAAATGGCCTCGTTTCAACAAAGTAGGCGGTCAGACAACAAGCGATGCTCTGTGAAAGTGAGGCGAGGCGTAAATATTCTCATACAAACTCTTATATTTTTGCCTTGACGCTTACCATGCAAGACTATCATCTCAGAGCTGGAGCTTGGGCCGCCTGTGGGCTGACTCGATTAAGGGTCATTTTAAAGGTCATTTCAATTTCCACATAAAGTATCCTTTTGCTAACCTAGCTTGGCCTGCGTTATAATTTTCATCTCAAGCTTCTAAGTCTTTTGGCTCATTTTGTCCGAAAACGGTTCTTCCGCCTGGATGGTGATGTTCCTCATTTTTTTGTACTTGATTATTGCAATAGGCTTTAGTCGAAGTGATCAGCAAATATCATCATCATCATCACTTCCTTGAGATCTTGACAGAAGTCACTAGACTGGTAGTGGAGCGTGTTAACTCTGTCCAGGTTCCTGCCCCAATGGATACCTTGACTAAATTTCTGTACTTGTGAGAGGGGACTGAGCTGAGCGATTTACTGTCAGCCGTTCCTATGGATACCTTGACTAAATTTCTCTACTTGTGAGAAGGGACTGAGCTGAGCGATTTACTGTTAACCATGGCTTCGTTTATACTGTTACTATGTTAGAGATTTAGAATGAAACTTATTGAATAGTTCAATGTTTGTGGACACGATTGTTACCCAATGAAAGAGGATGCCTCATCCTTTCTTGAATCAAATTAAATCAAATCAAAAATTATGAAACAAATATGAAATGGCTGCTGGCTTTTTTCTTATTGAATTACAAATCAACTTGATTTTAAGACGATAGATGTCCTTTTCATCTGTTTACAATTTTATTTTCTTATTTTAAGTATAGGAATTATTGTAGAGAGTTTACTCGTTTAACTGCTTAGACTTTTAGACCCTAATTATCCATCTTGACCTTACCATCTGAATGGGAGTTTATGATAAACTCAAAGAGTTGTTAGAAAGTTCGTACGAAATTTTCGAATTGTTACCATTTTATTCTGACAAAAATATTTCATTCTGCAACAGAACGTAGAAAATGATATGTTAAAAGTAAGAGAGCAGTTACTTCCACTCTAAAAGAACAGAAGTTGATTAAAACACACTTGAAACATGTCTGCTTGATAGCAAGCGAAAAACAAATCCTGTATGAAAAAAAAATAGAAATAGTAAACCTCAAAACACTAAAAGCAAACCTTAAGAAGTGTAATCGAATAAGTGTAAATATTGTAAAGTTTGCATACTGTTGAATTTAATGTGTATAGTTTGGTCAGAGGGAAATAAAATGATATCAAATGTTGGTTGTGTATCAAATATTTTCATCCTGTGACTGCCATTAAATAGCCGATTTTGCTCAAAGAGAGATTAGTAAGATACTCTGGGAATCCTTAGCGGTCCTAAGCCGCTTTGAACGAGCTAGATCGCATGATGTAAATGACCCGACGCATCTCATTATTTCAGATTTTAAATATTTACACAGAACGATATTATCGTGCAGATTGATCTCTGGAATCTGACTGAGCCTGTGAAGTCTCAGCTTTAGCTTAGTGATCTTCCAGATACAAATAAAGAATAGCTTGTTGAAAGATATGCTAGAAGGATCGTGACATAACTTAGAACGCGTAAGTGCTCGAACAGGTAATTTTAGCTCCGCTTTGAAACATTGCTGTTTGAAAAGTGCTGTAGTTGACCCTTTCCAGAAAACTTGAAAGGAAACACTTTGTGATCATGAGCTATTTAATCAAATTAAAGAATTTTTCTCTTTAAATATTTTTCTCTTTTGTACTTTATCTTAAAAACATAAAATTCGATGCAAATCTAGCGTGCATGCCTCAGGAATACATCTTGAGGTCTTTTAAAAGCCCACCCAATCTTCAGCCCAAGGTCGTCTTGGCCTCTTGTCAGCGGTTTGGTGGCCAAATAATGACCTTTGGGAGAATGGAATTTTTCCTAGAAACCGTGGGATTCCGGCTTTAACTGCGCATATCTACATTGTTAGTTGTTGCTTCCGGTTGACTTCTGCGCATGCTTAAATTAGAGTACACGGTTCGCTACGCCACCGAAAGAAGAGAAGAACGTGAATTACTGTTGTGTACGTGAACATAAGAATCATCGTAATAAATAGAAAGTGTGATTTATAAACCAGTAGAAAATACCGAGATTTTTTTCCATTATGTCCTCCGGTGCTCCTGGAAATGTGGAAGTGAAAGAAAAAAGGGATAAGTGATGGCATTTTACGCAGCTTTTACGCTGTTTTCAGTTCTCGCGCGGGGTAAATCGATTGCAAGCTAGTTAGTAGAGATGGACTTTGAGCAAGCAGTTTCATCTTCTTTTAGAGAATTGAGTTCAGAGGAAATGAAAAAGGAACAACGCCAAACTTTAGAGGCGATTGGTTTAGATTTAAGAGAAGTCCTCCTGCCTCTACTCCTGATTCAAAAGCTGCTGATGGAGCAGGTGACTGCACTTGAACCGGGATGACTACAAAACAAAGAAACACAGCAATGTTTTGAAACTCTTATAAAAACACCCATTCCGTCGCCTCTAACATGTGACATACCTTAGAAAACTTTCCTAACCCTTCCTTGATATACTTAACAATGAAAAAATGACAAACAAGTTTCTTTTGATACTAATTTAATATTTTCCTGTTTGACATATTATCTTTTGACCTTTTGAAATGTACTTTTTTATTATTTCCATGCGAGAATAAAATTATTTAACAACTATTAAATGTGCTGTGCACTTGTTCCAAAATAACTTTGGGAAGCAAAATTTAAAATTGTTCCTTGATGTGTTACATTTTGTAACATTTTGAGGCTATTACTTGACCCTGAGTTTACTGAAAACACATGCATATGAATTAAATACCCACATCCCTCCTGAAGATAAAAAGAAAAAGAGAAGCAACGAATATAATTTGAATCTTGAAAACATCACAAGCTTTGAGTTTGCTCTTGCTTCTTTATTTTATATGATTCAGTATGCTGAATCAAGCTAGGGATTAGTTGTTTTTTATGGAGAGAAAAAAAATGTGGAGGGTTCACATTTTGCAATTTTTATGTTTGTGATGTTTCAAGGTTAAATTTATATCAGTGATTCACTAAAAAGAAAGACAAATTAAAAATGGTCTATCCTTTGGTCTGTTACAACTTTTAGCTCAAGTCTTATTTTTTAAATATCGCTGTTATAAGGATAAGGATGATGGTAATGAGTATCTGGAAAAGGTTCAGCTCTTAGCATTGGGTATTCATCACATAACTATATATCACACACACTAGAAGTGCTGGACTTCCATCTTCTTGTACAACAGTACACTCAAAAACCAAGCAAGTCAGGAGCTTAAACTATCATTTCTTTATTAAGCTCCTCCAACTGAAATGGTACTATTCCTTGTTACATGTAAGATATAAAAGCCAGTAGTTCCAGGTTTGTGTACACATAGGCTTCTATATTGTTCATCAAAATCTCCTCTAGAAACTGAAATTTGGTACATGCTTTGACATCACAACTAGGTAACAAAATAATAAGTTTAGCTTTTGCAGCTGGAAGGCTTGTCTACGATACAACCCATAGCATATATACTTCAACCCTTCACGATTCAGTCTTTGCATGTTCTGTCAATTGAATATAAAACAAAATGTAACTCTCTATATATTGATAAATATTTTCATATTGAATGAGTTAAACTCTGTTGAATGTTTTGTGATCATAGTAAATTGGACAAAAATATATTGGCATGGAATTTTGAATGACACACATGTATATTGTAATTGTGAAAAAAAAAAATGCTAATCACAAACCAGCTGTTAATGTAGCTTCATATAAAACCCTTCCCTGGCCAGCGTTCTCAAGTATTTTAATCCCGGTTGATTGCTTGGTTAAATTAGTGTTACGAAGTATATAGGTGACAGAAATGAAGGATTTAATTTGCCGTAAGATTCATAAATAAATACGAAAGGATTAACTCTGTGTTTCCATCAGAAGTGTTTTCTTGGAGTACTCGAGACGTGGGTATAATGGACTGAAATTTTAAATCGTTTACTTGCGGTAAAGCAGATGGTGAAACTGTGGCCTGAGAAGGGCTTTGGATGGCGACAGACCTCATTTCTGTTTTCTTAAGAGTGGAACCCTTCGCGATTTCCTTACATATTTATGCTTCTCGATTTCTTCTTTGACACTAAATGCTATGCTATTCTGATGTCGAACTCTTTTACACTGGTACATTTCTGTAAGCTTGCACAGCCTCTACAATGCCTTCTTTTCTGCTTTTCACTCAAAACAAATTTATATAACGATTTATTTCTACGTACTTGTCTTTGAAAACAACGACAGCAATCCATCGTTTCATGAAGAACAGCTTCCCCTCATTGCAGCATGCAGCGGCTTTAGTTGGAAGTTTTCTTACAAATTGACAGGCAGTTTACATGTGAAAACTTTCACACACACAAAAAAAAAAAAATATAGTACATACAAACAACAGTCAAAACAATTACAGTTTATCGTTGTTAATACTCTATTTCCGGCCCCATCGATCCCTTCCGTAAATCACACTTCCTGTGTGGAGTTTTACCATCAGTCAATCAAAAAAATTGAATTAATTCCTTCTCCCAGAGGTCATTATTTGGCAACCATACCGCTGACAAAGAGCTAAAATAACCCTAGGCTCGAGATGAAGCCCGCTTATGAAAGAGAGGAACCTGGGGAACAGGCTTGCTTGTTTTGGTCTTCGAAGCCGTCGACTTGAAGGCTGTCAGAGCCCAGAAAAGAAACATCGAACAGGCGACAAAAAGGTATGTTTAAACAGTTGTGGCAAGATGTTTTAAAGGCCCATTTCCACCCTTATGCAACGCGCGTCGCGACCCAATTTCCTGTAACACGAAATTCCCAGATCATTGAAAACCTCCTAAAATCGTCTTTCTCAAGAGCCATCCTAGACATAAAGTCAACTAGTCGTCATTTTACAGTTTCCTTACAGTATTTTGAAATTTGGCCGGAAGAATCCGAAGAAAATCTTTTTTAAGTGTCACGCTTGGATCTCTTTGAACTCTGTGAACAGAGTCGGCGAAAAGGACAACGTTCAAATTTTTTCACTTTCTAGATGCGCTTGAGGATTCTAAATGAAGATAAAATATATCCAGTAAAAATTGCTATTTTCAATATTTTTTTTATGGAAAAATGTCAGACTGCCGGACGTTTAGTTATTCTACCTTGTCTGGTAGTGTCCGGTGAAAATTTTCTTAGTGTCGCGCTTGGATCTCTTCGCACTCTGTGTACAAGGTCAGCGAAACGGACAACGTTGGAATTTTTTCACTTTCTAGAAGCGCTTGAGGATTGTAGATGAAGGAAGAATATTTTCCAGCGAAAAATTGGTATAGTTTAGAGAGAAATATAGAGTTATTTGAGGACCGTGTCCAGCCGTGTCATTGAAAAGTTTTTAAGTGTCAAGCGTTTAGATGGCTTCGTACTCTGTATACAGGGTTAGC